CTGTCCGTCAAGACATGGAGGTGGTTCTTGGACCTTCGGTATTCGGTCTCCGTCGTTGGCGAAGGGAATGGGTTGAACTGTCTAGATCTGCGGCCGCGGATCGTCACGCGTGGAGAGGTACAATCCGGGACATCATCGAGGCAGGCTAGATCAGGCATGATCGCAGCCGTATCAAGTACAAGTACAAGTACAAAGGACGCGGCGACTGTATGTCGGGGCCCCATGCGCTGGCTCACCAGTTTCCGTGCGAAGTTTTCGCAAGTGACCGGGCGATGACTGAGGTGGGTGTGCGATCGCAATGAGAACAGGCTGGGACTGAGTTCTCACCGCTGGAGACGGGGGTGATAATGGTGAGGGCGGTGGTTGGCTGGCCGTGGTGAGCGTTTTGATCGGTGGTGATGATGATCATGATGATGATGATGATGATGATGATGATGATGATGGTGGTGGTGGTGGTGGTGGTGGTGGTGGTGGTGGTGGTGGTGGTGGTGGTGGTGGTGGTGGTCGTCGTCGTCGTCGTCGTCGTCGTCGTCGTCGTCGTCGGGTTTTACCTTGTCAGCGACATCTCCGTAGAAAACTTGTCTTAATAGGCGCTCGTCGTCCATCTTCACCAGGTGACTGCTCCTTCGCACTTGCAGTTGTAGTTGCCTCAGTATGGTGTACATTCTGAGGATTCCAACCCATTCCGAAACTTCTATGTTAGGGATCCTATCCTGCTAACTCAGCTTTAATATCCGACAGAGACAAGTAAGGTGGAAATGATTGAGTTTACGGGCTTGCTTCCAATAGACTGTCCAGGTATCCGCACCATACAGCAGTATCGTCAAGATGACTGCTTTGTACGTCTTCAGTTTGGTATTCAGGTCGAGACCGTTGCAATTCAATACAGAGTTCTGCAGCCGACCGAAGGCTTGGCTGCTTTTTGGAGATCCGGCGAAGGACAAGTAATGGAGAGACGCGTTGAGGCCCGCAGATGCCGGCTGTTGAGATGAGGACCGTCGGTCCTGTAAGCAATGCGGACCCGGGGGCGCCCATCATGGCAGGCGTCCATCAACGTGGCAAGAGGGTTGAAACTAAATATACAGCCCAGTTTCACTCCGATGGTTGCTGCAAATGCTTCTGAGACGGTCCTGTTGTCCGTGACGCGCGCCACCACCCCGAAATGGGGGCAGTTATTATGTCTAGTAGGATGTTTGAAATGCTTAAGGGAAGGGTGATTGTTCTTCCTGACGGTTTGTGGGCTTTCTGTCGAGTGAGGCTTCCATGTTGTCTTTGATCGACCCCAACGCTGGGTTCGTTGAGTCTATTACGACTAGCTCATCCTGGTCTCTGTGCTGATAAGGACACAACAGAAGGTATCCACCTCAGGGATTCTAAGAGCCTAAACTGTTATGATGACTTTCCTTCACAATGAAATCGCTCAAACTGCCGTTACACTGAGTAAACGGAGATGGCAAATTGTGGTATAGAACTTAGTTATGGTATGGAACTTAATTAGCGATCTTTTGTAGCCTGGCATAAATCACGTCATATGAAACATTCTTAGCTTTATTGGTGTGAGAACAGCATTTGGAGCCTATAGCCGCCAGAAACTAGCTAAGGAATATGAAATATTCGACTGGAGATCAAACCTGACGTACCAATGGACAGATGTAATGATAAACATGGAGAGGGTCCATGATATGAGTGCCTGCAATTGGCGCAGAAGACAAATTTGCATTCAGGGCATCGTCCAAGAGTAGGAGAGTCTAGCAAGACCGAGGCGCCACACTTTGGTCTCGGACAAACAGCGACGTCCTGCATACCTCCTAAGGCCCTAGCCAAGAGAAAGTTCTCGTATCGTTCGTACATTTTCTTTGACAGAATCCTACGGATCTAAAGAAGAAGACAGATTAGAGCCGCAAACCTGCGAGCAATAAATTAATAGCCTAAAAACAGATCTGACAAATGAGGAAACGTTTGCCTCTGTCTGAGGATACGGGGACCTAAATCCCTTCAAACGTTTCACTAAAATAACACTGGTTTGCTATTGCTGGATTCGCCTTATTGCATCCGTGGCACCCGGCCATATTCAATGGACAGAACGGAAGGCTTGAACAGTCGGATAAAAGTTAGGCAATAAACAAAAATAGTCATTAAAAGTTTTTTCATGTTGGAACGTATCGTAAATTCTCAGCTATCATATCTTCAAGACGGAGGTCATTAGAACGATTGAATTTGGGAGGCGTGACCTATGACCGGGAAGAAGGGTTGTCCGTTAGCTTAGCTGCTGCCGCGGATCGTCACGCATGGAGAGGTACAGTTCGGGACATCATCGAGGCTGGCAAGGTCAGGCATGATCACAGCCGTACCAAGTTACAAGTAGCACAAGAGGCTTAAACGGGTGTCAAGCGGGTGTGGCAAGTGGTAGACGGGAGTCTTGTTCCGCGCCAACCAGTGTAACTGATTTCACATACAGTCAACTTGATTCGGACCCGCCACTGGCACATGGTACGAGAGGGGAAAACATCGAGGCCGGTTCAGTGCACGTCCCACGGGTCTGAATTGTCATGATGCGAAAAAGGTCGTGACCTGGGAGATTGTCACTTGACGTAGTAACTTGGTTTCCTAGAATGAGGGTGAGGCTCTAATGCCCCCTCAATGTGGCCTGTATGGCAAGCCTCACTGAGGCGCGGTCTGGATTATCAGTCGGGTTCATGTAGAGTGATGGACCTTGTGACGGGAACGACGGAAGAACCGCAACTGTCCTAAGGGCGCACTTGTGACTTGGCCGAAATAAGGATTCCACAGCATCCTTAACTCTCTTTCCTTGCACCACCCTTTTCCTAATGACAGGCTAGCCACTGACTAATACCTACGCCTAATCCCCTTGACTGTGTCTCGAAAGTGGATAGCTATGGGAAAAAAGAGTGGGGTAAATTCCACCTAGGCTACAATCATTATAATTCGTGCGCAAGCTACAATTGCTTCCCAGCAAGAGTACTGGCCGTTATCGGGTATCACCAGTTCGCATAATTGAAAACTATGAGATTTCTAAACTAAATCGTTATTTGGGTACTCTTTTGGTCGCACTGTCTGGTAACAAAATGAAAGGAAGTGACAGCAAATAGCGCAGTAGCTGATCCAAAAAACTTGAGTGTATTTCAATAATATCAGTATCCATCGCCGATCCGGCAAGGCCGTAAACTATGGCACCATAAAACGCTTCTAACTGTTCATTTTTGCTGACAACTTCAAAACATAACGAATCTTGTTGAGACACGAGTAGGAGTACCGGCAAAGCATAGGCAATAAGGCTGTGCACCTAAAAGCAATCTTCATGGGCACTCCGGGAATTATATGGACAACTATGTGCCGGCGACAGAGAGTATTAGTAAACCGAATGCCCAAATGTGGGAATTCCGGGAACCTTGGCGGGGTTCGAACCCTGACAGGAAGGGAATAGCTGAGGCACAACCAGAGTTCCAGTCGGCTGACCCACGAAGCTCCAAACGATAGTACGCGTCACTTGGAGATGCAAAATAAGAAGACGCGACCGCACTTGATAGACTTTTGGAAAATGTATAGGTTACGAGAGTAATTAGGGTCAGCTCATCGAAGATGAACACTATTGACATTAAGTACCAAGGAGCTCTGCCTCTTATCCTGGATCGTTTACTGACAGTGGCACACAATCGTTCGGCTTGGTTAAGATTAGCATTTCTTTAATGTAACGATGATTTCAAAAGAGCTTGCCTTCTACAGAGACTTAAAGTTGACTATTGTTGCTGATTCTTATTCTTTCCATTTCTTATGAGGTCCGTGGAAACTTCTGTTCCACCCCTTTTGGTTAGTGTCGCCAACCATTTCACTTTCCACCCGGCCACTAACCCATTTCCCGCTGGTTCGCTGTCGAACATTCTACCTCGCACACATCTGTGGTCTTTTAACTGGTCGCCTGCCCTAAGCAAACAATGTCCCGCATGACAAAATACGCATAAGTGCCGTCAAAAGGAAACCTAATTGATACGTAGAGGTCTCCGAAAGGAGTAGATTTCGAAAGTTAATAAGAGCTTACCTCGAACTGCGTGGCATTCGCATCGCAAAACAAACACTGCGGATTGCCTTCATTGAAGCCCTCATTGACTTGAACGGAGAAGGCCTCCTTCATGCAACTAAAACATGCAGCATGGGAGCACTGGCTTAGACGAACAAATTTACTTCCTTTTTTCGAGGAGGCGCAGACAGGGCATTCGTGGTAAGAGCTTCTGTATCTGGCCTCCAGTTCCGCTTCATTAGTACCCAATAAAACCTCCATGGATTGCCTCGACGCGAGCTCGTCGTTATTAAATACGGATAACGGGTCGATGAGACAAAATCCAGGCGTCGAAACAGGAAATAAGAGGTGCATCGCATTATTTTCCACGTACTCGAAGCAAGACCAGAGAGGTGATTCATAAGTTGGGCTTTGCAATATGTTTTCTAGTTCGTTTTTCAAACGTGAGATAAACTCGGATGATAACCACATGGAATTGGGAGAAATAAATGTCCTGGGACGGTCTCCATCAATTGATTCATGGAAATCCAGATAAATTGGAGGGAGATAGTCAAGTTCATACTGACACTCCATAACAGAAGATTGGCCTGAGATTTTTTTCGTGAAATGTAATTGACGATTGTATCTCGGTCCAGTGACGATTGTTTTTAAAAGAACCTTCGGGTGAGCGGTGAATGTGCCCTTTATAACTGTGTTATTGTCCACTTCGTAGGTAAATATTTCTTCTGGGTATAAAGAACGTAGGATTTCGCACTCAGTGGCCAAGTTATTTATGCCTTCCATCTACACATTACAATTATGAATGTGATTCAGTTGTACTAACCGAAATTCCTTGGGCTTGGTACACTTTGGGCATCAGACCGTTCACAGCGTCACTTCTTCCATAGGCTAACTGGGGTTATGCCAGCATAAGCACCTGCAAGTGATTTACCCAGTGCAGCATTGCCATGCACGTCCAGCAGACCCAGGGGATGTGAACAGTAGGTCAGGGAATGGTTGAGACATGTTTATTTGGCAGGACGCGAAGTGAAAGATGGTGGACACAGGGAAGGTAGATACGTTAAGGAAGAAAAAAGACAGTGGCTCACTGCTAGGGACCGTTTGTCAGGTATGATAGTTAAGGTAATAGCAACACTAAGTAGCAGGGGACAAAGGGGAGGGTAAGCCGGTTCTCCTAAGTTGGGCTGTAATATCCGAGAGCATCCGTGGTTCGACGCACTCGACCGTGAAGGACTGTTCGATCAACTTCTCCGTCGAAAGGCGACAGGAACGAGCGTGGCGTAATCTGAAGACTGTTGGAACTTAAGATCACCAGAGGTCGTAGTGATAAACAAACAAAGAAAAAAACGTTCGCATTAGGGACGATGCAATAATCACAGATTCCACTTACCAAGTCCGTAGAAACAATAACGCCAGCGGGCTGAGGAAAAAGACAAGGAAACTTTTCTATCCCTAGTAACACTGTACTTGTACGGTGTTAGCTCTTACACCGTCAGACATGGCGTAGAATGATGGCTTTTTACGTAAAGTTTGTTAATAAGGCTCGAAGATAGCCGGTGTGGGAAAAGTAGACAACTCGACAGCGTCCACACGGTAGTGCACTTGCAACCCTCAATCGGTGGGTCTGTCCAAGTTCTCTTCCGGCGTGCTGTCCGACGCCTGACTAACAGTCTGCCCTCGCTCACAGGCGATCACTTCAAATTCAAAAGGAAAAAAACAACGCAAAAACCAACGCTATGTAAAGTGCGTACACAGCATTCAAACGAGTACACTTGTCCGGGGATCAACACTTTCCAAAACCCCCCTTCTCAAGGGGCGGCCCTGTCCTCGGGGCCGGTGCGTGGGGTGCGTGGGAGGTCACCGATCTCGACTTTGTGTGTCTGCTGGGGAACTAGATGGGGTGGGATTGTAGGGAGGGAGTCAGTGGTCGCATTGGGGGCGTCCTCTGTGTGGCTTAAGTTTGTCGTAATTTACTGTAAACGTGGGACTATCAGGCATCTGTGCATCACGTATGATATATATGTTGTGGGGTAGGACGTCCGTGATGACGAAAGGGCCTTCGACAGGGGCAGAACTTGGTTGATATGCCCATCTAAAGAGTAAAACCAGGTAGACTTCATTGTATGGCGTACCGTGTGAGTTTCGGTCAAAGTATTCTTTCTGCCTATCGTAGGAGGCTTTGAGGTGGGTGCGGGCCACGTTATGTGTAATTCGCAGTGTTTCTTGCAGGTCAAGAACGTACTTGTCCGGGTTATGGGCGTCCGAGGTATGCAATGGAAATTGAAAGTCTACGAGCAGTCGAAAGTGGCGGTCGGTCATCACCAGGAAGGATGCATGCCCGGTCGATGAATGGGCTGTTGCGCCGTAGGCCATCATCGCGGACGGTAGTCAGGAATCCCAATCGTGTGGGTGGTGCTCTTCGGCGAACTCTTTCAATAAGTTGATGATCGTGCGATTGGTTCATCCTACCTGTCCGTTCCCTTCATGGTGCGCGGGGGTTGCACGGCTTTTCTGGATGAGCAGGTCACATAAATCACGCACCAGGCCGCTCTCGAAATTCGCCCGGCAGTCAGAATGTAGGGATAAGGATGCTCCGAAACGCAAACCCATGCGGACATGAGTGCATTAGTGACTAAAGCAGCATCTTGCCGACGTAGTGGGACCGCTTCCGTCCATTTAGTAAAATAATCTACCATTACTAGGATGTAACGGTTGCCTAACGGTGTGAACGGGGGGGGGGGGGCAATCACATGGATACCTACTCGTTCAAAAGGGATTCCCGTAATCACTGAGTGAAGTGGTGCTCTCCTTTTGTGGTTTGGTCCCTTGAATGCGGCACACGTGGCGCAGGTATTTCAGGACGTGGCGACCTGCTCACGGAGGTGTGGCCACCAGAATCGTTGTCTAACTGCGGCTTCTGTCTTCGAATGACCAACATGGTCAAGTTCGCGATAAATACCCTGGAGGACTGGAATGATCATGCTGTCGGGTACGACGAGTCTTAGCGTAATTTCACTTTCGCCTCTGAAGAAAAGGAATTCGTTCTCCATGAACAGGTCTGGCCACTGGTTTCGTACTATGCGAGCTATTTCCGATGAGCCGCGAAGTTCTGTGCCAGTTGGCCGATGTTTTCCGTGCAATTGATGATCATAAATTATGGCCGTGTCCGGATCGGTACTCCATGCACTTGCCCAATGGTGTCTCGTGCGCTTATTGTAGATGTAACGGGTATGCCTGGATTTGCTATTTTGGGTGGCCTGAGTGATAGCGCGTCCGCATTATTGTGTTTCGTACCGGGTCGATGCTGGCATATGAAGTCAAATTTTTGTAGGGTTTCTTGCCAACGGGTTAGCTGCCCTTCGGCATCCTTCGTATTTTGCAACCAGTGGAGTGCTTTGCGATCTTGCCGAATAATGAAGCGTCGACCGGCTAAGAATGGCTTGAACTGCTTAACAAAAGTCATCAAGACAAGTGGTAGTTGCAGTAGTTGCGTTGCGCTTTATTCAGAACTTTGTTTTCAAAGCATATAGGTCGCTCGTCTTCCGTCTCGTCCAGCTGGGACAGTACACTTCCTATAGCGTAGCCACTAGCATCGGTATCTATTATGAAGGGTGGTGCATTCCTGTCTGTACTCGGTAGCACGAGGACAAGAGCTGTAATAAGGTGGGTCTTCAGTTCGTCGAAGGCGGTTTGACACTCTTCAGTCCACACGAACGGCCGTCCTTTCTCCGTGAGCCTGTGTAAGGGTCGTGCTATCTCCACAAAATGTGGTATGAACCGCCTGTAGTAGTATGCTAGCCCCACAAAGCTCCGTACTTGAGTGGCCGATGTCGGTACCGGCCAGGTGCGTATTACGTCAATCTTTTCTGGTGACGCGCAAATGCCGTTTGCGCTAACTTCGTGACCAAGATATGTGACCTTCTGCTTGAGAAAGGTACACATAGTAGGATTGAGACGTAGCCCGGCGTCCCGTAAGGCTATAAATACTTCCGTGATGTTGTGGTTGTGTTCCGCCACGGACTTTCCGAAAACAATCATGTCGTCGAGATAGATCAAGCAACAAGTCAAAAATTGTTGTACTAATACTACCTGTATGCGTCTTCGTAACATGGCCGCGGCATTACCAAGTCCGAACGCCATTGTCTCGAATGCAAATAATGCTTGCGGTACAATGAATGCCGCCTTAAGCCTACCTTTCGGTTCGACCTCCATCTGCCAGTACCCCGACTTGAGGTCTAGTGTGGAAAACTATTTGGCACCGGCGAGTGCATCCAGCACCACGTTGATACGGGGCACCGGAAATGAATCTCTGAGAGGTACGGCATTCAACCGCCGATAGTCGACGCAGAAGCGTAGCTTCCCATCTTTTTGGGTACCAGGGTGACCGACGACGCTTATGGTGATTGGGATAGCTTAATAACTCTGGTCTTCAGCATTTTTTCTATGAGTTCATTGACTCCAGACTGGAAGTGTGTTGGCATTCGTCTGGGTTACTGCCAAATATGTTAAGCCTCCCCAGTGTCTGGAGAGTGACGGATGTAGTTGGTGCTCCTGATACTACTTTCGTCCCGGGCAAAGATGCCATGAAAAGCTGGAAGTAATGACCGTATGTCTGCTCTCAATGCTGCGGGTACCTCCCTTTGTGAACTAAGTAAATCGTCGATGTTGGAGAGTGGAATGTAGACTAAGGCCGATATTACCGCGCAGACGAGCGTCTCATCGAATGGTTCGGTGGAAATAACATAATCGGAGATACGCGCGAATTTGACTGATCTATTTTTAACATAAATATAACAGTCAAACGTAACTAAAAAAATCGATAGCTAACACCAATTCCCAGGTGAGGTCTGGCACGACTAAGAAGTCGTGTTCTTTGACGGCGTGGTGGAAGCTTAATGCCAGGTGTACTCTATCCGTACATTTTAACGATTATTCGCTCGCTGCGACTAGCGGGAGGAGGTACCCATCCTGAGTTGCCCGATTTCGGTGTGCCTGAGATAAAATACGGGGGTTACCTAAAGATAATGTGGCGCCTGTATCAATCAAGGCTCGAACTGGGAAATTGTCTACGCTTAAGTTGATGTAAAACGAAGGGTCATCGAAATAGACTAAAGAACAATGTGGGATAGAAACACTACCGGTTGTGCTGTTGATGGTTCGTTCTGCAGTAGGTGTCGTCCGAATTCCACACTGGCATTGTGAGTACCGTGCCTGCGGTGGCTGGAACCCACGTGGGCGATGGGGGTTGCCGGCATCCGGATATCTGCCTAGGTTGTGATGCGGTTGACCGAGATGCTGTGGCCTAAAACCCATATTGCTTGGCGTTAGCTGCCTTGGCGGAGGCGCATTCCATGCGCCTATCTGGCGGATTCGTGTTTTTCAACCTACAGGAACCGGTCCGCGCCTTCTATTGTGTCCTCCAGTAGTGCGGGTGGCTGCAGTGTGGGGGAGTCGACGAAAGCTTGGGATTTTAGACCCTTGATGAAGTGATGTAGGCTCATCTGTTCAGTGTCCTCCGCGGGTAATGGCCGGTAGGTGTGCTGACACAATTTAGCGATAACATTTGCAAATTGCCGAGGCGTTTTTTGCGATAGTTGCCTGCGGCTAAGGGACTTCTCGATGGCCTGTCCGACGGATGGTCTCGGTTAGAATAGGCGGCGTAGTTCATCACATAGATCGGTGTATGGATAAACAGCCCAGCGTTCAGGGCCTGCCGTAACTGCCGGGTGTCAAGGTGTTTGAGTAAAGCTCTATTTCTCTCGTAGACTGGTATTTCTTAAAAGTAGACATTCAATAACTCGGCTCAAGCGGCGAAATTTTCCGTTTCATCGAAAATATGGGAGGAAGAGGGAATGACCTGTCCCGTTTGTATCGTCGACCGGTGTGCTTGGAACGTGTTCCGCGTAGACGCTGCCACCATTGTAGTGTCCGAGCCAGCTGTCT